AGGGAGAGGGGAGACCTGTGAGTGCCCCTGGCGAAGGGAGAGGGGAGCTCCTGGGGAATGGAGAAGGAAGACCTGTGAGAGCCCCTGGGGAAGGGAGAGGGGAGACCTGTGAGAGCCCCTGCCAATGGGAGAGTGGAGACCTGTGAGAACAGGCTGAGGAGTGGGGACCGGGCAGAGCTCCATGACTGCTTCAGAGCTTGCGTTGCCCTACTTGGGACCCGACTGCATTTTGAGCAGCCCTGCACTAAAGGGAGTAGGCAAGGCAGCCAGACAGCTAAATGGTTGAGTGCATTTCCTGTTTTCATCTTACAGATAAATGATTTAAAATTAGAGCAGATTATACACCACTCTATGCTTACAACCTCTTATTCTGGGGACAGGGCAGGATAGAGTTTTTTAATATCCAGTCATTGTGTGTGGGCGTTGTTAGTTAGGCAAGCATTTATTGACTGGTTTCTTCCCACAATCCAAAGATGTGCAGGTTAGGTGGATTGGCCATGGGAAATGCAGGGTGACAGGGATAGGATAGGATAGGGGGTTGTCAGTGTGGACTAGATTGGCTGAATGGCCTGCTTCCACCCTGTCAGGGTTCTGTGATTGCCATCTGGCTCATATGTAGGCCCAATCAGGTAAGGATGGCAGTTTTCTTCCCTAAAGGACGTTAGTGAACTAGATGGGTTTTCCTGACAATCAACAATGGATGCACAGTCATCATTTGACTCTTCCAGGGTTCAGATTTCCATTGAATTCAAATTCCACCATCTGCCGTGGCAGGATTCGAACCCAGGTTCAAACCCCAGAATGTTACCTTTGTATCTGCGTTAACAGTCCAGTGATATTACCACTAGGCCATTGTCTCTGATTTTATATGATGAGTAATCCAGAAGCCCAGCTAATGTTCTTAGTTATGACAACTGATGGAATTTAAATTCTGTTAATAAATCTGGAAATAAAGCTAGTCTCAGTAATAGTCGCCATGTCAACTACCACTGATCATTGTTAAATCCATCTGGTTCACAGATGTCCTTTAAGGAAGGATATCAGCCATTCATACCCAGTTTGACCTACATGTGACACCAGCCCCACACGCTCACCATCCTCTGAAATGGTGAGCAGTTAGGGATGGGATGGCAACAAATGCAGAGCATGCCATCAGCAGACACATGTTGTGATTTTTAGAGTTGTCACATGTAATGACCTTTTAAGCATTCACTGATTATTGTTCCTCAGATCAGATGTCTTTACTGGCATACCCCTTGGCTTTGATGCCTGATGAAATTGCAAACTTGCACTTACTAAGTTGCACTATTGGCATGCTCTTTCAGAGCTATCTAACGAAGAAGTAAAATACAATTTCTATCCTATTTCAAAGGAAGATTTATTTTATGTGTAGCATTTTCCAAGACTTCAGGACATCCCAAAGCACTTTATAACTAATGAAGTGTATTTGATCCCTTGTTACTGTTGGAACTGTAGAAACAAGTAAAAGTCAATTTAACTAACTCTTTGCACCAGAGATTTGTTGTTAAAAATAGTAGGTTACACAGTAATATAATGGTGGTATAAAATCTATGGTTCTATATAACTCCAATAGGAATTAACTTATAAGTAAGCATGTAGCCTGTACTGTTTCTGATATATGGAAATATTTGTTGCATGCTGGCAAAGTAGCATTTTGTTTCTGTCTAGACCATGTTTGCCTAAGATTCGTTGGAAGGGACTGGCCTTTGGTGATTGTGTTTAAACAAACATTGAAGAACACCTTTCAAAACTTGAAAACCTGTCTCTTCAATTCATAATCTTTTAAAGCTGATTTAAAAGAAAGCACGGTGCATTTTCTAAAAAGAAGTACATTTATGCTTCCACAGCACTGAGATTCAGGAACAGGACCTTGGTTTAAAAGATCTCCGGGATGTGACAAACAACTTACAAAATATAGAGGCGTGTTTTACAAAGAGCATAAATAGTCGGAGAATTTTAACATCTTTGGGTGAATTGTTTTCAAGTAAGTCAGTGTCATGTGCATTAGTGCAAAATGCAATGGTGTCAGTAGAAGTGAACATGCTAGTGTATGCTAATTGTGCCCAGTATAATTGACAGATTTTTACTTCACCATTCACCCCAGACCTAGAAAACTACCATCTCTAAGAGAACAGAGCAGATAAAATTGCCAAGTCTCTGCCAACGACCTACATGAGTCATGTTCCATTTCAGTCTGACTGTTGTAAGAACAATTTGTAGCATGGATAAAGTCACTTTAATGTAATTAAAACAAATCAGCTTGTACTATATTAGAACTTTGAATACTGCATTTGACTCATGGAGTCATAGAGTTGTACAGCACGGAAACAGACACTTTGGTCCAACTCATTCATACCGATCAGATATTCTGAATTAATCTAATCCCATTTGCCAGCATTTGGCCCATATCCCTCTAAACCCTTTCCTGTTCATTTACCCATGCAGATGCCTTTTAAATGTTTTAATTTTACCAGCCTCCACCACTTTCTGGCAGCTCATACCATACGTGCGCGAAAAAAGTTTCATCTTAGGTCCCTTGGCTCCTGCATACATGAGTTAATCTTATTTTCAGTCATTTATATATGTGTTATATAAAGAAAAATATACATGCATGTGTTAACCTGTACTTTACAATTGTCACCTTCCTGGCCTCCATAATATCCAGTTTGTCAAACTCGACTTGCTTAATCATTGCATTAATATTATTCAAGCAGTTGTTTCAATGTTAGGAAGATGAAGAAGGGATTTTCCAGTAGTCAAATGACACCTACTCATTCATAATTCAGATGCTTAATTCAGGTTTTGCAAGCTTATCCTGGCTGCAGAATTTGATCCAAACGTTGGCATCAGAGCTGTGTGCAGGGCAAATATAGAGAAACCAACTTTGACATCAGCTGAGTACAACACTGTGGAATCGTAGAAAAACTGGTTACTATGTGTCAAAGTGAAAACCTGCCAACAACCAGAATCATCGGGTTAGGCAGAAAGAAAGATGCTTGTGGTTATTACAGGCCAGTTGTCAACGGAGGAGTTCCTTGTGCTGTGGCATTGGGCCAAACACATTCAGCTACTTAATTTTAATAATTGTCCTTCTGTTAGGACCTCAAATTTAGGGTGGTCCGCTGTTGATTCCAGAGTTCAACTCAACTCTATTCCCAGTCCTTTGTTAATAAAACAGCCCATGCCATCCTTCTGCTGGAGCTGTTTTCCTTGGAAAATAGAACTGAGAGAGGATCTCATACAGGTATTGAAAATTTTGAGGGTTCTGGTCAAGGTAGAGTCACTTCTCGTTTCAGTGTGATTTTAACAGATCTGTGTTTGCATTTCTGCCACCTTCTAGGTCAGGCTATTCAATTGGATGCGAACAGTGCTCATCTTCAGCTGAAAATAAGCAGGAAGGGCACAGCAGTTGAAGCTGTTGAAGCAAAGCAAAGTAACTGGTGTAATGCAGAACGTTTCAGCACTTCTCTCAATGTACTTGCCACCACAGGATACATCACTGGACTCCACTACTGGGAAGTTAACGTGAAAGACATTCCTTCCTGGGCTGTGGGGATAGCCTACCAGAGTATTCCACGCATGCTTCCAGGAAGCAAACTGGGAACTGAGGAAAACTCATGGGCATTTTCTTGCTCAGAAAGAGGCCTTTATTGTGCCCAACATGACACGGAGGTGATGTACTTCCACTATGAAAACCAACTGGAAAACGTTGGAGTCTATCTGGACTGTGACAGTGGCATTCTTGCGTTTTGTGATGCAGAATCAGTGCGGTGTTTGTACACGTTTTATTGTACACTAAAGGAACCAGTGTTTCCTGCCTTTTGTCCAAAATTTGATGACAGTGAAGAATTTTCAGTGGTTCCCCTGGTAGTCCACAGTGGTATTATTGACTGAAATAGATGATCATATGTGGTGCCTGTTAGAGTACAAACATAGAGACTTGCTGATTGGTGGTGACATCTCCAGCATCATGGGAGTTCTCAGACTTACTTCCTGCTTCTGACGCTATCTCTGTCCCCATATTCGCTTTGTAGGGCTGAAACCTGCAGTCACTGATTTCCAGTGTTACACTTTGCATTTCATTTACTTTCTTCTTGATTTTAAACCAACTTGTATTCATTTTTTTAACTTTACTTCATCAAAGTTGAACTATTATTCCATGATGTAATTAATAGTAATCTTAATAACTACAAACTTGTTTATTCCTCCAAGGGCTATTATGTGGCTGTTGTTTTGTCTGAAATTGTTTTGTTTTCAGCTCGTCTTGCTAGATTTCCTAAAATAAAGCTGTTTTTGATTTAATGATCCTGGAAATACAAGTCAGGGCCGTGAATGCATACAGGGTGGTCAACTACAGTGTAGAATCAGGAAGTGGAGTTTGATTTACCCACAGTTTAATTGATTGGTGGGTGGGAGATGTCATCAAAGGGATGTGTAAAAAGCCTGAGTTCTGTGGAGTCTGCAAACATTGCAGTACCTGTGAGAGGGGTTTGACAGGGGACTCATGATTGTCACTCCCTCTTAGCTTTGAGGAAGTCTGGAAGAAGGCTGAACCCTGGGGCCTGAAATTGGACTTAAAGGGACACCGCATCCACCATTCGGTGCAGTAACTGGAGTGGGATAGTCAGCCACTGAAGACTGTGGAGGAATGGACATCAATGGAGTGATGAACCAGAGGGTCCACCCTGTGCATGGATATTCACAGATTTGGTAATGTGCGTGTCTAGGGCAACATTATCTGGGAGCTGTGTTGAACAGATCAATTTGGGGTTACCATTTGTGCTATCATTAAGTTGCCTTTCTTCCTTTGTGGGTATGTTTATATGCCCGTATATACAATATGTACAGAAAGAGTGTTCATTCTTTAAAATGAGTTTATCTTTTTAATGTTACTAATTTGTTAATAAAATTGTTGATTGCACACTACATTGACTGTTGAGTAATTTCTTCCTGTTTTGTCCAGAGTCCAGCTCTGAATCTAAGTGAAACTTCACAAGCGACTCTTAAACTCTACAACTTTCAGCAGCACGGGCCCTCCAGTTCCTGGCAGAGTGTTGCAGTAAACAGGAGCCTTTCTGTGACAGGCCTACTTTCCCACATATTAATTCTGCTTTATAATGCATGTTTTGATTTTTCTTTGCACGCACATCCAGATGTAACTGTGAGTGGATGCAGGATAATCTGACAAGCAAAGCAGGGCACAGTACTGAGAATTCTACCAGGTCTGTCTGTCGCAGAGCCACTGGCAAGCCTGGGTGAATATTTATTTTTGTGTTCATGGTGTTGTTGGATGACTTTAGTGCTTTTTGAGATATTGCCATGACTCAGTTGCACAAAATGCACTGCTAATGAAGCCCCACTATTACACAAACTGTCATAAATATGTAACTACCAAATCAATTTATCAAGATTATCAATTTGCCTCAAAAGCTGCTAAAATGCAAATTCATAGTTCCTTGAAAGTAGAGTTGCAGGTAGACAGGATAGCGAAGAAGGCGTTGGTACGCTTGCCTTTATTGGTCAGTGCATTGAGCATAGGAGTTGGGAGGTCATGTTGTGACTGTACAGGACATTGGTTAGGCCACTTTTGGAATACTATGCACAGTTCTGGTCTCCCTGCTATAGCAAGGATGTTGTGAAATTTGAGAGGGTTCAGGAAAGATTTACAAGGCTGTTGCCAGGTTTAGGGGGTTTGAGCTATAGAGAGAGGCTGAATAGGCTGGGGCTATTTTCCCTGGAGCATCGGAGGCTGAGGGTTGGCCTTATAGGAGTTTATAAAATCATGAAGTGCATAGATAGAGTGAATAGCTAAGGTCTTTTTCACAGGGTAAGATGATCCAAAACTAGAGGGCACAGGCAAACGGCGAGAGGGGAAAGGTTTAAAAGGGATGTCATGCAGAGGGTGGTGTGTGTATGGAATGAGCTGCCAGAGGAAGTGGTGGAAGCTGGTACAATTACAACATTTAAACGGCATCTGGAAGGGTATATGAATAGGAAGGATTTAGTGGGATATGGGTCAAATGCTCGCAAACGGGACTAGATTAATTTAGGATGTCTGGTCGGCATGGACGGGTTGGCCCGAAGGGTCTGTTTCCATGCTATACATCTCTATGACTGCATAACTCTATAAGTGTAAGTCACGGAGGGTTTTATCATTAACAAGGAGATCACTGTTTATTGCAAACAAACTTATTCTTTAACAAATGACTACAAAAAACCTAGTTTGCAGCTTAAACTAATATCCCTTTAAATCGTAAACCCCATACACTCGTTCATCAATAAGACAAACAGCTTGACAGAAATATTAATTCTGTAGATCAATCCCTAAACTGCAAGGGTAGATATTTTGTAATCAACCTGTACAGAGATATTATTACATATCCTTTGGAGCAGGTGGGACTTGAACATAGGCCTCCTGGCTCAGAGGCAAGGATACTGCATCACAAGAGTCCCAGATCAAAAAGGTAGGATATGTTGTTTCTCTCAGTTCTTTTGATTCTTAGCAATGATGACATGATATTGTTGCCGGGCAATGGTCGATCTTTGATTGGTAGCTGATCGGGTGGACCTGGGTCTTTTTTGTATTTAAATTCCTTCTCTAGAGTCCATGGGATTTCTTTTACTCTGGTTCCAGAAAGAAGGGGGAGAGACATTAGTTATTTGCAGGCTTCTGGTTGTCTCTAAGTGCACTTCCTTGCAGGATCCTTTATCTTAAGCTGATCCAAAAGGCTATTGTCATTGTTTGTCATACAGCGCAGAAACAAGCTGTTCTGCTCCTATGATGCTGCTTGGCCTGCTGTGTTCATCCAGCCCTGCACCTTGTTGTCTCGGATTCTCCAGCATCTGCAGTTCCTACTATCTCTGATTCAAACTAAACTACATTAATCCCATTTTTCTGCATTTGGTCTGTAGCCTACTCTGCCCTGGCTTCTTAAATATTGTGAGAGTATCTTCGTGCACAAATCCCTCAAGCAGAGCATTCTATATTTCGACCACCATCTGGGTGAAAATATTTTTCCTTTGATCCTCTCTAAACCACTTTCTCCTTACCTTAAACTTATGCCCTCTGGTCTTAGACATGTCTGCCACGGGGAAAAAGATTCTGTCTATGCCTTTCATTATTTAGCATACATCATTCAGACACCCTCGACCTCCCCATCCAACCAGGCCTCCTCTGTCCAAGGAAAACAAACCCAGCCTCTCATCATAACTGAGAAGTTTCATCCTAGGCAGCATCCTGGTGAACAAGAACAGAAGTTGCTGGAAAAGCTCAGCAGGTCGGGCAGCGTCTGTGGAGAAAAAAAATCAGAGTTAACGTTTCAGGTCTGGTGACCCCTCCTCAGAACCCTTCCTTGGCATCCTGATGAATCTCCTCTGCACCCTCTCCAGTACAATCACATCCTTCCAATAGTGTGGCAACAAGAACTGCATGCAGTATTCTATCTGTGGCCTAATTATTCTATGCCCTGGCTATGTTATATTCAAAGACTCTTGGTGCCACTCTGTCTCGTAAAATATCCACCTTACTGTTTGCAAAAGTAACTAAATCCTGTGTACCTAAGTTGTGCACCACAAAATTCCACTTAACCTTCGGGTTGTAAAATCTCTCTTGGTATTTTAGCAGTACAGCTGCGTGCAACTTCCATTTCCCAGTTTACTGTTCAATAAAAAAAAATGTGCTCCCTCACAATGTGTTTTAATTTGTTGCCCGCCCCTGAACTCAACCCTGAAGAAGATGTTTCTTAAACTTATTCCAGTAATCTAAATTGTTGAGTTGCTTTCTGTAGAAACCAGTTGATTTTCATTGCAATTTGTAGGTATGATTGTATTTTCCAAGCTTGTTCTATAAGTCACTTTTTAAAAAAATTGTTCCTTACAAATGATTACTCATAAGATTTTGTATTTCCTAATCAATAATTGGAAAAGGAGTGGAGGAAAACGTACAGAACTTAACTGCAGCACATAGAGGTACTTTGAGCCTCGTGTTGTAAAGGGGAAGGTTCAAAGGTGATTAGCTGCCTGTATGTTCAAACAGTAGTGTACTTTGCAATTTAGTCTGGGCTTCAGGAGCGTCTTTTCAAGTAATATTCACATTATCTCACCCTCCACTAACCAGAATATTCCACAAACGGATGTTGAAGAATTATTCCCTCTGTATTTACAGTGAAAAAGTGTCAAAGTTGGAGAGACTCCAAGCCTCTGAGAGTTATAGCATGCATCAAAGGATGTTTATGTTTGGTTCCCATGATTGCCACAAACTGCAGTGGGTTAACATTTGATTTGCCGACTGCATTTGACCCAAGGTACAAGCCCAGGTAGTGTAGGTGTTATTGTACTTTTCTGTGAATGTACGTAAACTCAAATGGCCATCTGTTTAAAATCCCATTTCCATGTGGCAGATGGGCTACCATCTAAACGATACAAACACAGTGATCCCATTCAACATCATTGCTTTCATCAAGTGTGATAAACCTTACCTTCTTCAGCTACTTCATCAGCGTTCTACCTTCTCTCACCATGTTGAAAATAGAATAATCGCCAATGATTGCACCGTGATCAGTACTATTTACAACAGCTGCAGTCTGTATCCGGATCAAACAGGACCTGAATACATGAAGGCTTGGCTTAAAATGTAGCACAAATGTTACATACCATTAAAGTTCCAGGCCATGACTACTTCCCATTGATATTCAACAACATTGCCATTGCTCAGTCCCTGCCATCATCAACATCTGGGAGTCAAGGCTCAAAACCATATGTTTTTGAGTCCTAATTTTTGGTTTTAAAGGGCTCCTTGAAGGTAACATAGATTTATTAGAAATCAGACTACTATTGAACACTAAAGATGTTGGACCAGGTGAGGAAACATGAATTGGTTCCCTGCTTTTTAACTTCCCTGGTTGATGGCAAAGGTTTACGTTCTTTCTTAACGTGCAGCCATATCTTCCTCCAATTGAAATATAGTTAACAAATTTTTATTGGAGTAGTAAGCAGCTAATTGCAAGGTTTTCTTGTGTTAAAGAAAGAACAAATTTTATTACCCGCACCATCTGAGGGGAATAAAAAGACATTGAGCATGTGGTTTTTCATGAGCCCCTTGGGGCCTCACACACACTTGCACAGGTACAAAGTTAAAAGGGGATAGGAAAGGAAGATAAAAGAATGCACGGTTTACAGAACTTCCAGCATAAGGGTTTAACCTGACACCATGTTTGGTTATTTCATTTGTGGGACCATCAGCAGTAAAATTATTTCAGTCTATTTTCAAGTTCTTGCTTTCTTATTGTTTCTTTTCAATCATGTTGTCACTGGCATTTCTTCTTAAGAGAAAAGGAATGCCTTTGCTAGCCTGTCTCAGCTCTGCTGTCAAAAATCCATCTCCTCTGATTATACCATAGGCAGAGCCTCTTAATGTAGCAGCGTTTTTCTTATTCTGTCCAAAGATAGTGTTTCATCTCTAACATATGAAGATTCTCATGATGGTGCAAACAGTTAGGAGATTTTAAGCTTCCCAAGTTGGGCCTTCTGGCTAATTTCATTGCGCTTGGGGAAATATTAACTTCAGGTATTCAACATAGTTATTAGAACTTAAAATACTAACTGTTTAGTTCATAAAACCTGACCAACCAGAGGGCTCAGTGGCCTAATTCAATGTTTTTGACTCCTTTTTGAAATCCATTTCAGTCCATGAGATTTACAGGTATTAAGTCAGATGAAATTATATGGTAAAATCAGTTAAAATTGTAGGGCATTAGTCCATATTTTACATCATTGTTACAAAGGAAATTAAAGACTCTGTGCTACATGAGCAGCCAAGAATGCAACAGTCAGCATATTGCTTTCCTTCATTCACACTCCCTGCACACAACCTACTTCTTCCTCCTCCTTGTAATGTATTATAGTTGACTTTGTTGCTGTTAATACTTAGCCTTCATCTGGAGTCATTTTAAACTTGTTTTTTTCTCTCTTAATATCAACCATTTAATGTTACGGTTGTTTCCAAATGAGTGAGTAGCTAGTTAACTCAATTTGTATTTTGAGTGTTTCACCTCAAGGTTTAGGTAAAGTTTTGCTTAAACGTTTTACAATGAATATTTTCTTCTTCACTAATAGTTCACTGATTCCCATTCATTCTTGCCAACACTTTTGTGTCACTTCTTTGGAAGGGGGAGGGAGGAGGCAGTTTGTCACCTTCAGCACTGTCAACATTCCTGAGCCCCAGATTCCTCTCTGGCTCTTTGCTCTTCCTCCTACAGCTGTGGCTTCCTTTATTCTGATAAAATGTAAAACCACATGAAGTAGGAACAGGGGCAGGCCATTTTCAACACCTTGAACCTGCTCTGCCATTTCATAGGATCATGGCTGAATAGACAAACCTATTGGGACCCTCTTTTTCATTTACCCGTGTGATGGGGATGTTGCTGGCTGGCCAGCATTTATTGCCCATCCCAAGTTGCCTTTGAGAATGTGGTGTTGATGAACCAGGATAAGGTGCATCAGCAGAGATTCAACAGTGAGTCTTGTTGCCATTTATCTGCGATCTCCTGATGGCGTCATGTAAATCTGAGTGCCCAAGGATGAAGGGTCCATGAGTACATCCTCAATGACCTGCACTGACATTCAGGATCCCCAGTTGACTCATTTAATGAGCTGAACCATTTCTTGTTTATATACGTAAAAGCCGCATCATTTGTTGCTTTCAGTGGGATATTGGCTATATTGACAACATGCACCACTTTGGGGATATTAATGATTTTATAGACTGTGACAAACCTTTCCCTTTGCTGGAGTGGGCATGCTGCAAAGCTGATGAGCTCAGAAGTCTCACTATACATGTACACCCACTTGAGAACCCATACATTCATTAGGGTGCCGATACAACTGATTCCCAGGGAAAACATTTTTTAATTGATAGCACTAGCTCACTGATCTTTTCTGTCAATTGCACAATGTTTCTTTATAAAAGTTTAAGATGTTTCGAGTGCTTGCAGTTTTTGCTATTGATATTTCAACACAGCTGGATGATTGACAGTTTGATACATGGAAAGCAATGATGGAAGTTTACTTTTCTTACACATCCTTTTGTCACAAAAGGGTTAATTGCTTCTACAGAGTGAATTGTAGTTGAATGAGCTTGATGTGCCGTATCTTGACATGAAGTTCATGAAACGCCATGGTCTGATATGATGCAAGTAGGAAGAGTTGGTGGTTAGGTCTGCCTTGGAATAGTTGCCTCCAAACCTGAAAGCACCTATCGCTGCCTCATTCCTGGCTGGCTTCAGAGATAACACTTTCACAGCCACTTTCTCCCAAGTCAGGCATAGAAATCCGAGAACACTGCAAAATCCCACTACCCACCTTGAGGATGAAGATCCAGGCCCATGTACATGAACCCTCTGGGACCATATCCTTCTCCACACTGTAATATTATCTTTAATCGGTATTTTTTATTGTTCTTTCCCGATCTTTCCTAAGAAACATATACCTAGAAATATTTAGCAATTAGACCTGTCCTGTTTTTAACCAAACCTCCATTATAGCCACAACATCATACACGTATATGGTCATCTGTGCCTGTATCCCAAACTCCAGAAGATAAGAGATCTCGACCACATCTCTGACATCACTCATCTACAAATATGTAATATATTAACCAGTTACAGAACAGCTGAAGATAACTTCCTTATTATACAGGATCAGATATCAGTAATTAATGCACAGCTGACCTAAACTACCTTGGTGCAGATCAATATAAATTGCAGTAACTTCATAAGCGTGATCATTTGGGACTAGAAAGGGCTCTGGTTGGATTTCAAACATGAAATCTGTCAAGTTATTTCTCCTGTCCTTTGTATGCTTGCTCGGTGTCGATGTTGTAAGATGTTCTAAAATGAAACTGGTGAATAATGGTTATGATAATGTCGTCATTGCTATTAACCCTGAAATACCAGAGGATCCAAAGCTTATTACAAAAATTAAGGTTGGTACATTAACTGAATCCTTATTGCAGTATTGCAGTTCATTGTTTTTCTTGGATTTTGTTTTAAAGCATTGATCCTGTAGATAAAGCTATTGAAAAGGAATTCTTTAACAATCTCGCATTTGCTAAGCATTATTTTGTGGCTAACAATGGGCTTGTGTGTTAGAAAGATGCCCAACATTCAGCTTTCTCAATGCTGTCATAAAACCCAGTTACTCTATGGCTGGGTTTCGTAGTTTACCCACCCTGTAACCATTAATACCTTTGTTAAACAAAAATCTATCAGACTCTGCTTTAACAGTTTGAATTGACCCTCACCGTCAATAGCTTTTTGAAGAGAGGGAGAGTTCCTCTTTGCAAAGGGGTGCTTTGTGCCATCAACGCATGAGCACCTTACTTCCAATTTTCTGGGAGTTTCTGCCCTCTCGTTCTAGATTATTCCACCAGAGAAAGTGATTTCTTTGAATTTGCCCTATCAAAACCTTTAATTGTGTGTGACATGGGAAGACCATAGTTTCTTGATGGTTTTCCAAGTAGTACAGGGTGGACCTTCAGTGTAGCCCATTTGGATTACACACTCTTCCCCTAGGGAGAGATAGCTTTTAAACTCACACAGTTTAGTCACACTTTGGCAAAACTTGCCTTAAATGTGAACATGATTGTTTCAAGGACAGCACCTTGAGTTCAAATCCTATATTGGCTGAGATTACCATGAAGGTCCAACCTTCTCAATCTCTCCCCTCACCTGTGGCATGGCGACCCTCAGGTTAAACTCACCATGAGTCGTCTCTCTCTCATGAGAGAGTAGTCCTATGGTCCTCTGGGGCTAAGGCAACTTTGCTTTTTACTTTTACTCCTGGAATGTAATAATCTAAAAGCCCAAATCATTCAGAAGAGCACTGCTGTGTTGCCATTGCTTGGTCAGCCACGACCATAACATTGATTGTGAAAGCAGCTTATCATGAGCCAAGTAGAAAGAATCTCTCATTTCCCAGTGACAGCTGTGTCCCTTTAACTAGCCACAATTGGACAGGCTGTCTTAGAATCGTTGAGTCACAGAGATGTACAGCATGGAAACAGACACTTTAGTACAACTTGTCCATGCCGACCAGATAACCAAAATAAACTTAGTCCCATTTGCTAGCATTTGGCCCATATCCTTCTAAACTCTTCCTATTCATATACCTATCCAGATGCCTTTTAAATGTTGTAATTGTACCAGCATCCATGACTTCCTCTGGCAGCTCATTCTGTACGCGCACAATCCTCTGCACAAAAACATTGCCCCTTAGGTCCTTTTTAAATCTTTTCCCTCTCACCTTAAATCTATGCTATCTAATTTTCGATTCCTCCACCCTGGGGACTAGATCTTGTCTATTTACCCTATCCACGCCCCTCATGATTTTATAAACTTCTATAAGGTCACCCCTCAGTCTCCAAAGTTCCAGGGAAAATAACCCCAGCCTATTCAGCCTAGCTCAAACCCTCCAACTGTGGCAACATCCTTGTAAATCTTTTCTGAACCCTTTCAAGTTTCACAACATCCTTCCTATAGCAGGGAGACCAGAATTGCATGCAGTATTCCAAAAGTGACCTAACCAATGTCCTATATAGCTGCAACATGACCTCCCAACTCCTTTTTTCAGTGCACTGACCAACAAAGGCAAACATACCAACCACCTTCTTCACTGTTCTTGTTGAGCAATTTGCTTTTAGCAAAGACGATAATGCATTAATAAACAAGGGATCTTCAATCATTAAAGGAAACAGCTCAGAAACATTCAGATCAATAAGGTGCAAAATGAAAACATTGGTAAATCAGGTTTGAGGACTGCTCTACCTTATGAGGAAGTGTTAGTTTATAATGGAAGTCTTTATCAAAGAGTCATCAATCAGATTATGGTGGAAGGTAGTGTGATAGAGAGAGGAGGAATGATTTTTTTTTCTCACTGGAATGATCAAAATCAGCTTAATGTTCTTCACTTGTATTAATCTCACCATTATGATCCACCACAATTTCCACACTGGGAATAAGGGTCAATCGATGCTACTGTGCTGGTCACCCTTTAAAATGGGGAAAGGAGACCATTTTGTTCCCCGTCCAATTTCACTCAGGGCTTACATAGCAAGCTTGAATTGTGAGTATGAGGCAGAAGAAAAGCAACTTTCATTTATAGATGATGTGGAGGTGCCGGTGTTGGACTGGGGTGGACAAAGTCAGAAGTCACACTACACCGGGTTATACTCCAACAGGTTTATTTAAAACCACAGGCTTTCAGAGCATTGCTGCTTCATCAGGTGGAGTGATTTCACTTGACAACAGAGCAGCGCTCCAAAAGATTGTGATTTTAAATATAACCTGGTGTCATGCAACTTCTGACTTCATTTATATAGCCACCTTAGATGACCTAAGTTCAAGAACAATAATCAAACATAATCTGAATTTCATCATTCCTTTCAGCTGACTGGGTCTTAATTCTGGAATTCCCTCTCTAAGCCTTTCCAGCTTTGTGTCCTCCTTCAAGACATATGTTAAAAGCCACCTTTCTAACCTATAATTATCTGTTAACATCGATTGCGTGGTCAAATTTTGTTTCAATCCCTTGATGAGTGCCTAGTGGCATTTTGCCATGTTAGAGATAGATATGAATGCAAATTCTTGTTGATTGTACAGAAATGTTGTAATATAAGATTATAAATGTCTACCAGTCTTCCCCTACCCAAAGTCCAATTTTAAAGTCCATGAAATAAACTGATAATATTCTACATGTTGAAGAAATTGTTGCCAGTTTTGCATGAGAGTACAGTGATTAAAAAGTTTCGCAACACTGTGTTTCTTTTAGGAAATGGTGAAGTCAGCTTCAATCTTCTTGTACAACGCCACCAAACAACGAGCATATTTTCGAGATGTGAAAATCCTATTGCCCATCACTTGGAGTCCACAGCCCCATTATCAGAGACCAAAAACCCAGTCCTATGAAAAGGTAAAAGCTGAAATGATGGTATTGCTAAATTACTCTTCTCCCATCTCATGGGTATTCGATCATCCACACTAACCTACTTTTAAATATACTGTAACACTTCCATGCCTGCTCTTTGCATCACTAATAATCTATCCTTTACCTCATTTAACCAAATAATCCAAGACAGTGTTTAGAAAACACTTTCTGCTCTACCTTGGATGTTGCTGACCTGCACAAATGCACACTGGATTAGCAGGGCAATTTAATAAAAACATATTTTGTTTCTTTCAAAAGAAACATACTCTTTCCAGCTTTCTCTTATTTATGTAAGTTTTTTTTTGCTTTGCTGTGTTTATATCCATGTTTTTGCAATTTATATTTAACAGTAGTTTGGGAGTGATCGTATTTCCTGATGTTATTTCCTCCATTTGTCTTTTCCTAGGCTGATGTGATCATTGCAAACCCACATACTAAATATGGAGATGATCCATACACTCTGCAGTATGGCCAATGTGGTGAAAAGGGCCGATATATTCACTTTACTGAAAAATTCATGCTAAATGACATCCTGATCAAAGTTTATGGTGAAAGAGGTAACAACTTACAGGATATTTCTTCCAGCTGTGCAGCTGGCTATAATCCATTCCCCTTTCACAGGAAATACACTCGCATTTGTTTTTATATCAGTGAAATTGAGCAAAGCCTTGCTTTACAGAGACATACTCATAGAGTCATAGAGAGGTACAGCATGGAAACAGAGCCTTAGGTCCAATTCATCCATGCTAACCAGATATTCTAAATCAATTTAGTCCCATTTGCCAGCATTTTGCCCCTCCTATTCATGTACCCATCCAGACGCCTTTTAAATGTTGTAATTGTACCAGCCTCCACCACTTCCTCTGGCTCATTCCGTACACGCACCACCCTCTGTGTGAAAAAGTTGCCCCCTAGGTCCCTTTTAAATCTTTCCACTCTCACCTTAAATCTGTCTCCTCGAGTTTTGGACTCCTCTACCCTGGGGAAAAGACCTTGGCTATTCACCCTATCAATGCCCTTCACGGTTTTATAAACCTTTATAACGTCACCCCTCAGCATCCAATGCTCCAGGGAAAACAGCCCCAGCCTATTCAGCCTCTCCCTATAGCTCAAACCCTCCAATCCTGGCAACAGTGTTGTAAATCGTTTCTGAACCCTTTCAGGCTTCGCAAGACCTTTCCTATAGCAGGGAGATCATAATTGAACACGGTATTCCAAAAGTGGCCTAACCAATGTCCTGAAAAGCCTCAACGTGACCTCCCAACTCCTATACTCAAAGAACTGACTAATAAAGGCAAGTACACCAAATGCCTTCAACACAACCCTGTATACCTGTGACTCCACTTTGAAGGAACTATGATGATGATGTTCTGTGAAAGCCCAGAGCCTACTATAACAAACCAATGTCTAAACCTCTCTTACAAAGTGCACCAAGGAATAAGTCAAATGCTGATTGGTTTTGTTGCAATGTGGTGGTATTAAACTCAACTCAATCCTTCATTTTTATTTGTAAACTATTTGATGGACACCAAAATAGATAGAAGTACAGGAGTATTAACAACCACAATGTCTGCAGTAAATGTAAAGATAGAAACAAGGGCTAACATTTTGTATTAATCCATTCTTTCCTTCCTTTCTTTCCTTCTTCCCTTCACGTCTTCTGCTACTCACTCCACTTCCATTTCCTCTATTTTTAGCAAAATATTTGCCCCTGACCTGCTTCACATTAAAGACTGTACTTAGCTTTGATTTTCACTTTGCAGCACCAATATTGGCCAAATGCACTATTTAGGTTTGAGTGAGATAGGTGTTTTAATGAATGTTTCTATTTTTACAGGTAGAGTATTAGTCCATGAATGGGCCCACCTTCAGTGGGGAGTGTTTGATGAATACAATGATCTGACACCCTTTTATGTGGATGATGTTAACATTGAAGCAACCAGGTAGGCTATTCTTCAATTCTGATGGCAGAACTGTTTTGCAGTAGAAAAATCCATTTGTGTTTCCTGCCTATTGTAGAGAAAATTGTTGCAAAGGATAACATTAATACGTTAGTGGGCAAAATTTTCAAACTCCGACAGTGCACATAGATTGCTATTTGGCCCATCAACTCTGTACCAACCCTCTGAAGAACATCTCACCTTATCCCCGGAGCCCTTGCATTTACCCTGGCTAATCCACCTAGCCTACACATCCCTGGACACTACGGGGCAATTTAGCATGGTCAATTCACCTAACCTGCACATCTTTGGACTGTGGGAGGAAACCAGAGCGCCCAGAGGAAACACATGCAGATACAGGGAGAACATTCAAACTCCACACAGTCACCTAAGGCTGGAATTGAACCCAGGTCCCTGGCACTTTGAGGCAACAATGCTAATCACTGAGCCATCTACAAATCTTCTGCTCCTTTGAGTCATGTGGGCAACGGTGATAAAGCGGGGGGAAATACATTTTGCATTTTCTCTTTAGGGTTTACGTGGTGAGTTCTGAACCCCACTAATGATGTTCAACTAGCTTATTTCCATGTTTTTGCCTCTCAGTGTTAGCCAAACTGACCACATTTCTACAGAACTCCCTATTCTCCTCTCCTTCTCCAAGAATCTAGACAACACCAATTCCTGACATGAAATCCAGAACAGTTCCCCAGTAACAGCTCACTGCTTGCTTCGCTGGGCCTTTAGCAGACTCCATCTTCACCATCATTTCCCTGAATGCTGCGTGGACACTGTCCCCTTCCACTCTTCATCCTCACAAGCCGACTTTACCAAATCACCAGCCTCACAACAAAATTCAGACTGATCTTCTGAACCTTTTACTTCTTTATATTTCTAATTTATTCCGTTGACCAATAATGCTGCTTGTTTCTACACTTCTTTTTGTTTCCTATATATTTGATCTTAAATATCTGTACTTCGGTATCTTTGTACCTAAGATGGCATTTTAAATGACCACTGTAAACTTTTCACTGAACTCATTTGGGTACATGACAAGAAAGCTAATTCAATTCAATATTTTCTTAACCACTCTGTCCACTGTGATGCCACTGTCAAAGAACTGTGTATCTGAACTCCCAGGTCTCTCTTCTCAGCGCTACCACAAACCCCACCATTAGCTGCATTAGTCTGGCCCTTGTTCATCTTACCAAAATACAATACTTCACATTTATCCAAATTCAACTCCATCTGCCGCTCCTCAGCCCACTAGCCCAAATGATGAAGATTCCTTTGTAATCTTAGATAACCTTCTTCACTGTCCCCTACCAATTTTGATGTCATCCACAAACTTATTGACCATGCCTCCTAAATTCTCTTCCAAATCGATCATAAAAATGACAAGCAACAGTGGACCCAACACCAATCCCTGTGGAACACTGCTGGTCAAAGGCCTCCAGTCTGAAAAATAATCCTCCACCACCACCCTCTGTCTCCTATCATCAAGCCAATTTTGTATCCAATTGGTAGGCTCTCCCTCAATCCCACGTGATCAAACTTTACTGACCAGTTATCATGCGGAATCTTTTCAAAGGCTTTACTGAAGTCCATGTAGACAACATCTACCACTCTGCCCTCATCTATCTTTTTGGTCGCATCCTCAAAAAACTCAATCAAGTTTGTGAGACACGATTTCCCATGCACAAGGTCATGCTATCTCTGATCAGTCCTTCGCTCTCCAAATGCATGTAAGTGGTATCTCTGAGAATCCCCTCCAACAACTTACCCACCACCGATGTTAGACTCACCAGTCTAGAGTGGCCAGGCTTCTCCTTACAGACTTTCTTAAATTAAGACACAACATTGGTCACCCTCCAGTTCTCCAGCACCTCATCTGTGGCTGTAGATGATACATATATCTCTGCTCAGGGCCCTGCAATTTCTTCCCGAGCTTCCCACAATGTCTTGGGATATACTTGATCTAGTCCCGGAGATATATCCACCTGTACGTTTTTTAAGAATTCCGGCACCTCCTCCTCTGTAATGTGAGCTGTTTTCAAGATATCGACATTTATTTCCCTAGGTTCCATCGCCTCCATGTCTTTTTCCACAATAAATACTGATGTGAAATATACATTTAAGCACTGCTCCTATCTCCTGTGGTTGCACACATGGATGACCTTGTTGATCTTTAAGGGGCCCTACTTTCTGTCCAGCTGCTGTTTTGCTCTTCCTGTACTTGTAGAATCTCTTTGGGATATCCTTTAACCTTATCTGCCAAGGCTATTTCATACCTTGAGTTCTGAGGAAGGGTCACCGGACCTGAAACATTAACTCTGTTTTTTCTTTCACAGATGCTGCCAGACCTGCTGAGCTTTTCCAGCAACTTCTGTTTTTGTTCCTGATTTACAGCATCCACAGTTCTTTCAGATTCTACCTCATATCTTCTTTTTGCCCTTCTGATTTCTCTCTGAAGAATGCCCCGACCACCCTTATACTCCTCAAGAGATTCACTTCATCCCTGTTGCCTATACCTGACATATTATTCTTGACTAGAGCTTCAATATCTTTATTCATCCATTGTTCCTTACTCCTACCAACCTTACCCTTCACTCTAACAGGAACATACTACCTCTGAACTCTCATTGTCTGACTTCAGAAAGCCTCCCACTTACCAGTCGTCCCTTTACCTGTGAACAGTCTACTCCACTCAACTTTTGAAAGTTCCTGTCTCATACTGTCAAAATTGGTCTTGCTCCAAGTAAGAGCTTTAAATATTATACAAGGCTAATCCTTTTCCATGAGATAATAGGAACTGCCGATGCTGGAGTCCGAGATAACAAAGTGTGGAGCTGGATGAACACAGCAGGCTAGGCAGCATCAGAGGGGCAGAAAAGGGTCTATCTCTATCCTTTTCCATAACTGTTTTAAAACTAATAGAATTATGATAACTGGTCTCAAAGTTCTCCCCCACCAATGCCTCAGTAACTCACCTTGCATTATCTCCCAAGACAAGATCAAGTTTTGCTCCAATAGGCACATCTACATGTTGATGAAGAAAATACTCTTGATCACATTTAACAAATTACTCCCCATCCAAGCCCTTAACACTAAAGCAGTCCTGGTCTTACTAACTTGATTGAATTTTTCGAGCAGGTAGCGAAGGTGATCGATGAGGGTAGAGCAGTGGATGTTGTTTACATGGATTTTAGTAAGGCTTTTGACAAGGTCCCTCATGGTAGGCTCATCCAGAAGATTAATATACATGTGATCCACGGTTACTTGGCCGCATGGTTTCATGAGGACATAAGAACATAAGAACATAAGAACTAGGAACAGGAGTAGGCCATCCGGCCCCTCGAGCCTGCCCCGCCATTTAATAAGATCATGGCTGATCTTTTTGAGACTCAGCTCCACTTAACAACCCAATCATCATAACCCTTAATTCCTTTACTGTTGAAAAATTCATCTAGCCTTGCCTTAAAAACATTCAGCAAGGTAGTTTCAACCGCTTCGCTGGGCAGGGAATTCCACAGATTCACAACCCTTTGGGTGAAGAAGTTCCTCCTGACCTCAGTCCTACATCTGCTTTCCTTTATTTTGAGGCAATGCCCTCTAGTCCTAGTTTCGCCTGCTAGTGGAAACAACCTCCCTGCCTCCACCTTATCTATTCCCTTCATAATCTTATATGTCTCTATAAGATCTCCCCTCATTCTTCTGAATTCCAATGAGTATAATCCCAGTCTGTTCAGATTCAGAATTAGCTTGCCCATAAATGACAGCTGCTAATGGAGGAAGGGTGCTTTTCAGGCTGGAAGTCTGTGACTAGTGGTGTTCTGCAGGGATCCGTACTGGGATCTGTGTTATTTGTGATATACATAAGTGACTTAGCTGAAAATGTAGATGGGTGGGCGAGTAAATTTGCAGACGATACAAAGATCGATGGAGTTGTGGATAGTGTGGAAGGTTGTCAGAAGATACAGTTGGATATATATCAGTTGCAGATATAAGTGGAGAAATGGCAGATGGAGTTTAATCTGGGTAAGTGTGAGGTGCTGCACATTGGGAGATCAAATGTTAAGGAAAAATATACAGTTAATGACAGCATTGATGTACATAGGGATCTTGGGGTTCAAGCCCATAGCTTCCCGAGAATAGCCATGCAGGTAGATAGGGTGGTAAAGAAGGCATATGGCATGCTTGCCTTTATTGGTCAGAGAATTAAGTACAAGAGTCAGGATGTCATGTTGCAGCTTTATAAGACTTTGGCTTGGACACACTTAGAATATTGCTTTCAATTCTGGTCACCACATCACAGGGAGGATGTGGAGGCTTTGGAAAGGGTGCAGAAGAGGTTTACCAGGATGCTGCCTGGATTAGAGGGTATAAGCCATAAGGAGAGGCTAGAAAAACTCAGGTTGTTTTCTCTAGAGTGGTGGAGTTTGAGGGGAGATTTGATCGAAGTTTATAAAATTATGAGACACATAGATAGGGTTGACGGTCAGAATCTTTTCCAGAGTTGAAATGTCTAATACTAGAGAGCATGAATTTAAGGTGAGAGGGAGAAAAGTTCAAAGGAGACGTGAGGAGCAGGTTTTTTACACAGAGAGGGGTAGGAGTCTGGAATGCGCTGCCAGGAGTGATGGTGGAGGCAATACGAAAAGAGCATTTAAGGGACTTTTAGACAAGCACATAAATATGCAAGGTGTATGGACCAAGACCAGGCAGAAGGGATTAGTTTAATCTGGCGTCATGTTTGGCATGTTAGGCCGAAGAGCCCGTTCCTGTGCTGTAGTGTTCTATGTTCTATGTCTGAAAAGTTAAAATCCCCTACTATTACAACCCTATTATTCTTGTATATATCTGAGATCTCTCTACATATTTGCTCTTCAGTTTCCTACTGACTACTGGGGAACCTCTTGTACAATCCTAATCAAGGTGATCACCCCCTTCTTACTTTTGAGTTCCACCCATATAGCTTCACTGGATGATCCCTGAGGAACATCCTCTCTAAGTACTGCCGTGATGTTTTCCCTAATTAAAAACACAAATTTCCTTGTCTCTTCCCTCCCTTTCTACAGATTCTAAATCCCAGAACATTGAACTGCCAGTCCTGTCCCTTCCTCAGCCATGTTTCTATAAAACTATGATGCCCCAGTTCCATGTTTCCATACATGCCCTGAGTTCACACACCTTGCTGTCAGATCCCATGCATTGAAATAAATGCAGTTTAATTCTTCAGAGTTACCTCGTTGTCTGACTTGTTCTTGCTTGCCTTGTCTAATTAATTTGCTCTCTTTAACTTCAGAACCATCCTCATCTGTCTCTGTATTCTCATTGCTACTTAGGATCCTCCAACTTCCCTCCCTACTGGTTTAAACTCTCTCGAATAGCACCAGCAAATCTCCCCACCAGGATACTGGTCCCCCTTCAGTTCGGGTGAAACCCGTCCCTTTTGAACAGGTCTTTTCTGCCCCAGAAGAGATCTCAATGATCCAAAATGCTGAATCTTTGCCCACTGCACCATCTCCTCAGTGACTGATTTATCTGCCTATGTTCTTATTCCTACTCTCACTAGCATGTAGCATTGGAAGTAATCCAGAGATTACTACCTTTAAAGCTCTTTCTAACGTCTTACGTAGCTTCCTAAATTCAACCTGCAAACTTTTCTCCAACAATGTCGTTCGTACCAATGTGTACTACAATCCCCAGTCTCTCATTCTTCCTTTCCTTCCAATATGCTGCAACTGCTTTGAGACGTCCTTGGCCCTGGCATCAGGGAGGCAACATAAATTCTTGGTCATGGCCGCAGAATCTCCTGTCTGTGCCCCTGACTGGAGAGCCCCTGATAACAATTACTCGTTCAGGCATCTGGAAGTTTTAAACTCAAGTTGCCAGTCATCTCAGAAACCACATGACACTGCTGACATATGAGTATGGGGTTCGAATCCCGCCACAACTGATGGTGGAATTTGAATTCAATAAAATATTTGGAACTAAGAATCTAATGATGACCATGAACCCATTGTCGATTTTGGGAAAAACCCATCTGCTTCATTAAAGTCCTTTAGGGAAGGAAACTGCCATCCTTACCTGGTCTGCCCTACATGTGACTCCAGACCCATAGCAATGTGGTTGACTCTTAACTGCCCTCTGGGCAATTAGGAATAGGCAATAAATGCTGCCTAGTCAGCGATGCCAACATCCCACGAATGAATAAAGTAAAAAAAAATCAGAAGAACATGGAGATCCTAAATTGTTTTTGTTCATGAGTAAATTCATCACAGTCCCACTCTCTCATTGGACCGAGAGACACAACTGTGGCTAGGTTTAACCTGGAGGTCACCCCTGCCCAAGCCAGTGATGAGATTCAGAAGGCAGGACCTTTCATGGTGATCAGATCTGCCATAGGAATTGAATCCAGCCCTCTGAGCGAACCAAGCCCCACCCTGTCTCCACCTTTGTGAATAATAGTATGGAAAAGGGATGCCAGCAGTTTGTGTTCCATTCCCTCACCGGCTAAAGTTACCCTGAAGGATTCTCCTTCCCAATCTTTCTCCTCACCTTGAAGTGTGGTGACCCTCAGGGGTGACCCATCTGTCTGTCTACTGAGAGGGCAGCCCTATGGTCTAGTTAGACTATGGCAACTTTACATTTACAGAAATCAGAATGATTAACTACGCGCCATGTTTCGTTTCCATTGCTAGGTGTTCAAAGAAAATTAAAGGATTGACAGGCTCTTGTCGTGGGGGTTCCTGTCAAGACTGTGGTCGTGGCAAAGAGCTCCCAGGAAGTGATTGTAACTTCTTTCTAGACAAGAACCAAGTGGCAACAGCTTCAATAATGTACACAACAGGATTGCCAGGGGTAAGTGGAATTATTAAGAGGCGTTTCCCTCGCAAACCATTGACAGCTACGTCTACAAATATTTAACGTACAAAGTCCTGCTGTTCATGGGGTTTACATTCCTTGAAAACATTGCAAATGGTAACTTCACAAAGAGTAATGGGAGTCGATTGGATAGTTTCCAAATATCCAAAAATAATGATACGTACAGTATCCAGTGGAACATAAAGTGCAATAAAAACAATTTTTAATAAATATAATGATGTTCTACATGAGAAATAGTGTAATAAAATGAGGAACATAGCCAATTTCTCTTCGGACCCTTGCTATAAGGCCTCCTGCAGTGCAAATTGTTATAAAGCTGTGGGCCCAGTTGCATCATGGGAGCTGACATACATGTAGTGCAAACTTTACAGTCCTAGCAATACTGTTTTCTGTCATCACGACACCAGTTTGCAGACCATTTTAAGTTTTGAGTTTTCTTCTGTTATATGTATCTACTTCACATTTCTTCAATTTTTTGCACCTGAAAACTGCAGGTAAGCGAAACCTGACCCA